AAATATAAATATAAGTACGAAGAATATCGATTTTTGAGTAAAAATAGCTAAAGAGTAATTTCATTTTGTTTCTTGATAATTGTCACTATTCCAAAGAAATCCAATTTGATATCACGTGAAGAAAATTGGCACGAAATGAAGTGAATTTATTCATAATTGTTAATAAATAATAATCTCTTTACTGAGAATTCGATATTCTGTTAAAATACGAAGAAATAAATATAAATATAAATACGGAGAATATCGATTTTTGAGTAAAAATAACTGAAGATTAATTTCATTTTGTTTCTTGATAATTGTCACTATTCCAAAGAAATCCAATTTGATATCACGTGAAGAAAATTGGCACGAAATGAAGTGAATTTATTCATAATTGTTAATAAATAATAATCTCTTTACTGAGAATTCGATATTCTGTTAAAATACGAAGAAATAAATATAAATATAAATACGGAGAATATCGATTTTTGAGTAAAAATAACTGAAGATTAATTTAATTTTGTTTCTTGATAATTGTCACTATTCCAAAGAAATCCAATTTGATATCACGTGAAGAAAATTGGCACGAAATGAAGTGAATTTATTCATAATTGTTAATAAATAATAATCTCTTTACTGAGAATTCGATATTCTGTTAAAATATGAAGAAATAAATATAAATATAAGTACGAAGAATATCGATTTTTGAGTAAAAATAGCTAAAGAGTAATTTCATTTTGTTTTTTGATAATTGTCACTATTCCAAAGAAATACAATTTGATATCACGTGAAGAAAATTGGCAAGAAATGAAGTGAATTTATTCATAATTGTTAATAAATAATAATCTCTTTACTGAGAATTCGATATTCTGTTAAAATACGAAGAAATAAATATAAATATAAATACGAAGAATATCGATTTTTGAGTAAAAATAACTAAAGAGTAATTTCATTTTGTTTCTTGATAATTGTCACTATTCCAAAGAAATCCAATTTGATATCACGTGAAGAAAATTGGCAAGAAATGAAGTGAATTTATTCATAATTGTTAATAAATAATAATCTCTTTACTGAGAATTCGATATTCTGTTAAAATACGAAGAAATAAATATAAATATAAATACGGAGAATATCGATTTTTGAGTAAAAATAACTAAACAGTAATTTCATTTTGTTTCTTGATAATTGTCACTATTCTGCAGAAATCCAATTTGATATCACGTGAAGAAAATTGGCAAGAAATGAAGTGAATTTATTCATAAATTATTAACAAAGGTCAATACCTCTTTACTCAGAATTAGATATTGTTCCATATTTTAATATAAAAAATATATCATTCCATTTAAAAAAAACAAAATAGATCGTCAAATCTCCAAAACGCCTCCACCTATGAAAACAGTAAATGCCCCATATAATGTGTCCCTTTAAATCATGCAATTATTGATATAGAGCATAGAGAGATTATTATAGAGCTGCGCAAGTTATGTGGTCCATCCTGTATATTGTGATGCGCATCAAGTATGCAATTCTTGAACTTATGTAATTACAAAATGAACGTATTTACCAAATCCGTATATAATAACAAAGAGTATTGTCATAGAAAACATACAAATGTGGATTTTTATTAATTTGAAATTTCGCGAGTACCAATAAAATTGTAATGCCAATGCAACTGGTGTTGCTATTATAGAAACTACAGCCAAAACTTGGTAGAAAATTCAATTCAAACTTGTTCTATTTACACATAAATTCATTCATTGTTGATAAAAGTACTGCGATGTGCGTTAATTTTGTCAGTCGATTTCAACAAATGGTACGTATACAAATACTGTGTGATTGTTGTATAAACCTGGGTGACGGAGGCGTCCCGGGACGCATCTCCCTAGGTCCTGCGCCCAGGTGGTATGGTTGAGTACCGTGGAGTGAGGTGTGTTGGAGAGAATGTGCCTTTGCTCTTTCTTAAATATAGGTATAGGCAGGCAGGTCATATATATATCACTGGTGTGTATGATTTAGATATAAGTAGGCAGGGCCAGGAATGCAAGCTCTTACATTTCTCATTCGGGTAGGCTTGTATTTCGCGTGAGATGCTTGCACCTGGGTTTATTTAATTTCATTGCTCCCTATTGTGTCCCATTATGTTTTCAGCAGTGGGCATTAGCCGAAGAAAGAAAAGACACATGTCGAAGATCTTCGAAGAATGACTTTCCATTCTTTTATGGAAAGCCATTGTCCATATTTCTTTCATATTGTGTCAATAGTTTTGTTTTTGTTATCGCTATGCTCGCTATGTAGGTTTCTTTTCAGCTCACCTAAGATAACAGGAATGATAAGTACGAAGGATAATAAATGAATATGACAATTTATCACATTTTTGGTAAGCTTTGGTAAGCTTTTTGGTAAGATATGGTTTGAACACAATTGGAGAGTAAAATAAATGTGTTCAGGAGAGTGGTAACATTTATATTACAATTTCATGATCAATTTAATTATGCATGAGCCGGTTATTGTGAAATGTGGCTAAAACAAACATTTCTTGTTTCAAGATATTCTAACGTTTGTGTTTTACCATAATAACAAATACTTTTTCATTGTAATGCAAGATTTATCAACAATTGAATGTTGTGCTAATGTGAAAGGTATCTAAAATAATTACATTTCATGAGCAGCTTCCACGAACGAGTGTGTTTTATGCAGTTGAATGACTTACGTCATTTTCAAAGTTAATAGTATACTCTATTTGATGATATACGATATTAAACTTAATGAATGAACAAAAAATGAAATAAAGAAAAATAAAAGTAAATAAATAACGAAATAATAAAAGAAAATAAATAACGAAATAATAAAAGAAAATAAATTTATTTATGAAACTGCATTTTTTATTTTATAATTACTTTTTTACTGGATTGTAGTCCATCGTTATTTTATAATAATGAAATATACTTGGTATGTATTTTATTGATTCGCAATATAGGCCACTTTCACAAAAGCCGGCTTCCATATTTATTTTGTATAACATGTTTCATGAATTTCAATGTCACTCTACAACTCTGATTCTGGATATCTGTACGAGTTAGTGCTTCTAAAAGATTGGATTCCTTGCTTTTCAATATCATTGTATTGTTTCAAACATACGTGTCTATGTGTACAGAGTGTCCACGCTAAAGTTTGACAGTAGCGATATTTCAATAACTATTGATGGTACGAAGAAATTTTTTATATGTAAATTGCAGAATAAAATAGGATCTCTATTTTGGATTTAATTTAAAAGATATGATGGTGACCTTTCGTTCTTAATCTAGAAATTTTCATAATCTATGGATAATAATAATTAGTATGTCTATCCCAATGTAATTGGCACATTTTCGATAACGTATGAGATCCAAGAGAATTGAGAAATGAATAATAATTTAACTTAGTAAAGCTGAGCTAAACGTAATTTTATAATTGCCGGGAAAATATTCAATATAGTGGTTCGGCGGTGGGTATACTCTACGTTTATCTCGTCGGTATCCAATGTCATTGTTGTAGTTTGATTGTTTGTATTTGTCTATTGCCATATTATGTGTGTTGTTGGTTCCACATGAATTATAATGTCGCAGCCATAACCATTGTTTTGAGAAAATTGCAAGTATGTATATCAATTGCTTCGAAACGGCAGGTTTTTTAAAAATGTGCAACATTTCGCGGTTTCGGTTACCAAATGATTAATAAAATACGAGTAAATTATTTTTTCCTTGCTGAGTTTTACTTGTTCGAAAGAGAATGTACCGAGGTAGTTTATATGTACATAGAGCCTCGTTAATTTGCAGATGAATGTTATAGCCGTTAATTGTCTCTGGTTCTCTTCGGGAATGGAATAGAAATGAAAATCCTCTAGTATTCCAATTGAAATTGTTAATGTCCATAACCTATTAGTTGAATGTTAAAGTTGAAACATAATTGTGTCGGGGGATCATGTGGAATGTTACATGCCACACACGTGTAATAGTTCACATGGTTTGCAATACAATTGTCGAGCGTGTTATTTAGTGTGTGGCTTTGTAAGACGTCAAATTGTGTTAGATACAGTTACGTTTCCATTTTAACATTTTCCATTTTTCATTTTCAGTCATTTTGCTCTTGAATATTTACATTTCTATTCTTGAAAAGAACCTGCACTAATTGAGTGAAGCGTTGCTTTGTATTTAAAGTTCAATCGGCCATTTTATTGATGAAATAGAATATTAATGTTTCGGATTTTCCTGTTCAGTTGTCTGAATCAGATATTTTATGAATGGCTACGGAGCAAAATTGAAGTAGATTTGATTTGAAGGTGGAATAATTCATTGAAATGTTGGTGTGTTGAGCAAGTTTCTTTCTCGGTCCATCCTTCTTTCGGATTTATATAGCATAATAAGATTATCATTATCATTATTATTATTATTATTATTGAGTAATAAATATTGATGGGCAATGCCCTTTTGTACAAACTTCTTCAATTAAAATAGAATGCAAAATACTAGAGTTATACTAAATTATAATGAACGAATAATTGTTAAAACGAACAATCGTGAGTAAGTCGCCATAGAGATTCCACCTCTTCATTTATCTTGTTCTTAGTTTAATTTTTTCAATCTTATTGCTTCAGTGGTTTGGATTGTTGAAGTAATGCTTGTGGAACGGAGTGAGATAAATGGAACATTCATTCCGTTTAACTCGCTTCGGGTCTCCGTTCACAGTAACCTCCTCGCGGTGAGACCTGGAAATCGATATTATTTGCGACGATGGTTCGCAAATAATATCGAGCTAATCGACTGTGAATGTAAACCGATTTCTTAAGACGTACGAGTATATGTAATACAATAAAAAACAAAAAAATGTTCACGTAAACGTATATCTATTGTTATAATAACACCTACGTCCTTCAATACGGTCTCTATTTATCTAACTCTATTTAGAGGCACTATCATGGATAAGTGAGTGATGTATACATGTGTGATACATTTTAGTCGTCACTCTTCTTTGTTAAAGCATATAGATTTATATATAATTTTGTGATATTGTTTTTTATTTACATATACTCTTGGAAAGTCTTAAATGTATGCAGAGATCCGTAAGTTTCTAGCACTTGTCATTAACGACAATATGATGCTGTAATCACGAATCTGATTAGTCTTGTTCAATTCAATCGACTCGTCGAAATTGTAAAAAGATTTGGAACAGGGAAACGTGCATTAGAATTGCGAAAGTAAATCGTTTTTTTTTTTTGTTTTTTTATATTAAAACAGAATGTACCTTAAATTACAATAACAGTGTAAATAAAATAAACGTTGTTCCCATGTTTTCAGATCAGCGTATAATACGCACGCACGCAGGTATATACAAATTTTTGGCAACTCCGAAACTTTCCTCCAAATTTTTTTACGGTAGAAGATGCATTACATTAAGCATTAATTCATGAAAATAACTTCACGTGGGCGGGAAGATTTTATTTACAGGCACACGACTGAAGATATCATTGGCAATTTTCGCAAAAACCAGGCCGAACGTCTCCTCGTAGGGCGATTGAAGTTCCTTGAAGAGCAAGTCTGAATTTTCGTTGATGAAACGGTTCATTTGTTCTCCTGCGAAAAGAAAATGTCCATCTTTTAGTAAACGTATGTATAGGATATTGAACAAGTTTTTTTTTTATTTGAATTTGCTGAATTCATTAGTTTATCAAGTATTTTTCCAGCTACACAATATTGTCTAAGCGAGCAGTGTTGCAGAAAATGATGTCAGATAAAACTTACTTAACATCACAGGTAACGCATTATGCATTATTTCTCTTTTATTCGAAACCACGACCATGAAATACAATGAACAATTTTTATTACAGCTTAAACAAACATGCAATGACGTTTATTAAGTCATTGTAACTCTAATGATCGTGTTTTCTCTGAACTCGTAAGTTTGTGCAAGTACATGATAAAGTCTAAAATCAATTCAAATTACAGAATTCGTAATTATTGTACACTAACTTACTAATTTTGTTATATTTTAGGGTATCCACATAAGGTGAACCAATGTGTGGTGGAAATACGTGGTAGAATATTCAGGCGATTTCAATGCGCGATAAGAGAATATCTCAGAACGGTCAGGTGATTTAAATGCGTGATAAGAGAATGTATCAGTACGCGTTCCGGTGATTTCGATGCCTGATTCTATTCTTATCAGTGAATGCAAAGTGTTTGAGCAATTTCAATGCGCGAATTTTAGTTGTAGATCCAACGAAAAGGAGTAACATTTGTTCTGTCTCGTTTACTCTGTGAGTCATGAAACAAAATTGAAAAATAGCTCTTGAGGAGCAAACAAAATTGTGAATTAACTATCTATGTGTGCTTTAAATATCCTTGAAGTTTTGTAATTTTTTACATTACTGAGTTGGGAATTTTTGCACGCAAGTTCGACTTAGCGACTAATTAATAGAGCACAATTAGAAGTACTCGACAGGTCAGGTATACATTCGATGCAGTTCCATTGCATATCTGATCTGACATTTATTACGTACCTAAAAGTGTGTCACCGTCGAAAAGGTTGTCGAATTGCATCGTCACTCGAGCAGGGGAGAGTTTCACAACATTTTTCTTCACCTTCAAATAGGTTTCTCCATTCTTTTCGTATTTCTCGCAGTACAGGTCGTTGTGTGTTCTCAAATCGTCTGTAAATAAATATCATCATAGCATTAAATATTTTGGAACGTTAGCTTTCGATTCCTAGATACACACGGACGATTATTTTTACGTAGTTATTGGAAACGTCAGCTTACACATAGTGATGTTCGATTTGCCAGATCCTCTGACGGGCAGCAACAGTATTTTGCCATCGACTTTGTAATCGGCGACGAAGTTCACTTGCGGACAAAACGAATCCGACGACAGCAGACATTTGTCCCAGTCGATACTGAAAAAAATCGACATTGCTAACTGTTGCACACCTTGGACTTAATAATAAGGTCTTGCATATTTAAATGTTTCTCGATTTGTCATTCGGCTATTCGTGTGCGACTGTTTATGAGCGTGAAAATGAATATGATTAGTTGAATTTTCCTTGATATATAGCCAAAGTTAATTTGTTATCCTGTGAATAATGCAACATCTATAATTAATATTTTGGATAATGTGTACATTGAGTAGTATATTTCGAATAATACATTTTCTATTTTAAATAATTCATTTGTTAATTCGTGGCAGCTTTATATTTAAAGCAGTATTTGCCATCCATTTATCCATTTATTTAGCCTGTATCGTTCGTTATGGTCCTTTTAGGGGTATTGGTTGGAAAAGAGTAGTTTTGATAATTGTATTTGAGTAGCTGAAATGCAGTTGACTACAATCGAAGTTTTTAGTTACTTTCAGAGTATTATTATCTTTTCTGCGTATGAATTTTTTGGTACGTTGTATCTTACTGTGAAAAGATCGTGACTAACATTGATTAAAACGCTTACAGCGATCTTGAGTCAATTTCTCTTCGACTGTAACAATACTGTACTCTTACTTGTAATTTCTGATTTCGAGGTCCTTCGTAAGCCCGTACAATTTTATATTTCGATATTCCTGTCTCAAAGAGACCGACCCTTCGGACTCGCCAATTTTCATGCTGTCCACGGCCAATGGTTCGATCGGTAGGATCTTGAAGCTCTTCAAACCTGCACAGAAATATCGCAGAATTAAAAAAAACTGTTTCCCACTTTTCTCCGTTCTCTTTCCCCGTCGAGCGCGAATTCGCGTGTGCCGGGACACCTTGCATGTCACGAAACCGTGCGTACAATGTCCGCGCCGGCGGTCGTTCGCACTTTTACACGCGTGGCTGTAATTTTTCTCGAAGGCACAGAAAGCGAAGGGACGCCCGCTCGAGTCAAGGAGAACCTCTGCAAATTGCTACGAGCGATTATGCTGGTGAAACCTAATGCTGGCTTCGAGGAAACGCGTCGTGCATTGCTCCGGTGAAATCGGCGGAAATCCGCGCGCCGGTTTTCCTCAAATTCGGCGCGGATCAAACGAATGAAACGGCTCTTGAAATTTTCAATTATACGACAAGAAATTCCTAAACAGTCGGTGAACAAAACTGGCTCGAGTGACGAATGTTTTTTTTTTGAATGATAGAATGATAGTTGGAGAACACTATAATTATATATAATTTACGTACTCCCGGTGACACGGTTCTGACACAAAACGATCGGTAACTTTCGAAACGGAAGTGAGAGGGTTCCGAAAAGGCCCAACATATCGCGAACTCGGACCTTTCGAATATATCTAATTGTCCTCGCTCTCTTAAACGTACGGATTCGATCGGTGGCTGAGAATTATCATTATTTACGATTCTCTTCTGCGGGATGAAAATTTCTACCGAAGTGAAATCGTCAGAAAATCGTGCATTTCAATTTCTAAAGAAATCGAAATGAACTAAATGGCGGGAACGCGACACGTGGTGAACGTCCACTCGATTAGAAGTTTCTCTTCGGTTTCTCAATGAAAGTCTGATTATAGCGGTGCTGGAAGAAAAGTATGCATTATTGTCTTTCGAACGGTCGCGGAAAAATGACAGAAATACCAATTAGAAAATGTAGCGGCGAATCGATAATGGGAGAGTAAGCGTAAAGGCGCAGTAAGACGGTTATGTCGTAGTAAAAGAGGAATTTCTCGTTTCTCAATGAAAATCGTGTCACAGTGGAGTACCGCGATCGGTCAGGTGAAGTAGTTACGTAATCAGATAACTGGATAGATTATCACAACCAGTCTTAACTTTGTACGCCCGATAATCGAAGCGGATGTTTAGTTGTATATTTATTTGAATTCATCAAAAGATTAATCGTATTTGATCTCAGATTCAATTGCAAGTTTTAAATAATTAATATTAATATTTGGACTTGAAAAGTATCGAGACGTTTTCCGAAATTAATTTTGAGATTATAGAGCTAGTGGTATATTTTGAACAATATTTTTTTAGCTTCTCTTGATACTCGACTGACGGATAAAATAATGTAGTGTAATTAATTAAAGGCCTCACCTCCAGCGATCGAAACGATAGCATCTCTGGCAGCTGTGGCGATGCACTGATTGTATTCTTCTTTCGGCAGGGATCTGTCGCATATCCTGAAGGTGCTCGCTTGAAAAGGGAAAGAAAATTTGTTAAAAATGTCGCATGCAGCGATTACGTAAACTCAGTGTCGTTCGCGGTGTTCCGATAAAATGCAGCAGCGTTAGGCAAAGTTCTACCGAAGAGATTGACTTTCTCTTTCACCGTGTACGCGCTCTGTGTAATTGCGTTTTCGATTTGTCGCGACCTATCAACTCTGGAACCAGTCGTGGGCGAGATTTAAACAACGTTAATTGTCGTTTACAATACTTATTACTTGTTATATTAATATCTAGTTAAATAATACAAGTATTATATGTTACGTACGATTACTGAAACATACGATTTTTATTTGATGATTATACATTGCGAGATCATGTGAATCGCATTTATGAAAATAAAAATTTTGTTTCGGATCACAAGAATAATTATAATATTTATAGAAACCGTTAGTTCCGTTTCCATGATACATTCGTTAGCGAGTCACGTCCATCGTTGACATTGACATTAATCGCGCGATTAAGAAATTGCTTTGCCCGAAAAAGGATTCGAGGGGAAGCTACAGCTGATGGCAACGATCTCGTTCCACGACCGCGTTCCTTTCACGGCATACTTGTTAAATCGATACAACGGTTGCAAAATGAAACACGCGATAATGATCGATAATTGCTCACGTGCACCTTTTTTTCAATTTCAACGCGTGCTGCTCGCGTGTCACGATACTTTGATTTTCCCTCTGACTTTTGGCCGACTGACAGCTATACTTTAGAAACACAATTCTACAATACTGTGTATCTGATCAGTGCAATGCTATATTCAAAAAATTAACCTGAAATTCAATTTGTTTCATCAATTATTTTGACTAATTTTTACCTTGAATATTTTATTTTTCACTTCAAGATTTCTACTATAAAAATCAACTATACATTCTCTTCATCTCCAATTTTCAATGACAAAGTCCTCCATAGAAAATTACGGATAAAATTTAATCAGTCTAGACTTTATACTGAGAAGAAACTACTGTCTCGTAACAATAACAATGACGTAAATACAGTGGAAAGCAAACTTCAATCTTGTTTTTAAAATTATTCAGCCCTATGTAAAAAATTGTCGATGCAACTTCAACACCTAATAGAAGGAAAAATGATCAGAATACACTTCAAAACGAAAAATAACTCACGTAATTCGATGGCAGTTGTCGATGATAACGTCGTCGCAGCGACGATTACCATAACTATCGAGATCATTGATGTCATGTTGGATTATTTCGTTCCTAATTCACGATCGTCGTGGAGTCAGGGACTGAACGATGAAAACTACTTCGGACAGCTGACTGTAAACTGGAAGGTACGGTCATTGATGCAGTCTATTTAAGCGGTACGATCGCCCCACCATCTGGAAGGTCGGGAAACGCGTGCCTCTTCTTGCAAGATTACGCGAAAAAATCGTCAAATAATATGCTAAGCGAAGTCGGGAGCAGGATGATGAGAGATGACTCACTCTGTCGCTGGTATATGGTGGAAAACTTCTTCTGCTCGTACGTGCTTTCATTCACGACGAGAATCCGCGAAATTGCATTTATGCATACTGTGTTTAGCCAAAGAGATTGGCCCTGAATGAAATTCCAAGAGTCAGTGACCAGAATTTTTGGCAAAGGTTATTTCACTATCGTGAAAATGGAAAAAACGGTGGATTTCGAATGATGAACATACCTTGGGAATCGGAATTCGAGCAAATTTTCATTTCCTAACAACCGATGAAAATAGTAGACCTGTTTGTAAATTAAAATTCGTTTTCAAGTCACGTGCACACGAAGAAAAGAATTTAATTTTATTTTATTTCTATAAAAAATAACCAATTTTTGGTTTATATGATCAAATTAAATCATGTTTCGCGTTTAACGAATCGAGGCTTGTCCGAATATTCGTTCAATGGAATGAACGACGTGAATAAACGTTTTTTGTGCGTACGTGCCTTCATTCACGAATATAAAAAATTGCATTTATGCATTGAAGGAGCTGGGGAATTGGACCTGAATGAAATTCAGATTCAGTTACTTCGTATAGAGGTTATTCCACCATTGTTAAAGATTTTGTAACTGACCATTAATGTCGTCTTTTCAATTGAATTTAGTTAATATCCTCGAAGGAACTTCTTGTAGGTTTCGATAACAATAAAGTACGACCGCATCCAGAAGTTTCAAAGTAGCTTCGTTCTCGAGATTTTCTTAATTCTTTTACTTCATCGTCTGAAAGATATCCTGCATAATTTACGGAGACGGTGTGTCGATAATCTTTCAAATCAATATTGTCTTTTCCTGAAATTATTTCACAAAGATGGTCTTCCATATTTTTGGAGAACAATAGCAGTCTTTGTCGAGAAATTGCGGGGCTCTTTTCAGTTTTTCGTTTTTCGTACAAAAAAGAAACCTACATATTCCTAATAAAAAGTTTGTTCCAAGTTTAGTGTTGAATCAACGAAGTGGTTCAAGTGTTGTTGTTACTGTGTGTCTGTACGACAGCCCATTTGTTTTCTGGCTCTGACCTATGCAGTCGTTTCTGTATATGCCACTTAACAGGTTCACTTTATTAGTATTTTCCATATTAAAGTTTGTTTCCTTTTTTCTTTCAAGTTATTTTCCTCGCTCTGCCATTAATTTCTATTCTTGCACATAAGACGTCATGTGACTTAGTGTTTACAGAGGATCAGACCACACGATAATTAAATAACTCGCTAATTATTCCAGATTTATGACCGGATAAATTCTTTTGTAGATAGATATTCCAGAAATCACTGGGGATTGAATCGATTTTTTTCAATTTTATGCGTTATGATCTAATGGATTTATGCAGATCCTTTTAATGATAACATTTACGCCATTACTTCAAATACAATAGCGTGCTATTGTTATAGGAAAACTTTATAGTGATGTATATATTTAATTATCATTTGTAAATAAACGGTAAACGTTCAGTTGCAAAGAATCTTGTAATATGTACAGTATTTTATAATTACTCGTTTTCTTTAGATAATGGAATTTTTCTGTTAATAGCTCTCTATATTCTTTTTCAGATTTTTCTGTATTAAGATGTTCTTCTTCAAATTTGATGCATCTATATGAATGATAAACGCTTATTCTGACGATGACTTGGAAAGCAAATGGAAAAAGATTATCACGTACGAGTGGAATGGAAGGATTAGGTTTATTTGATCAACAAATTGTTAACGCAGTATTAAATGCCTTCGTTTACACACAAAATACAGAATTATCCATCGCGGAAATGAATCCTCAATGTTACATACAGTGCGAAGATTACGTAGCGTGATTGTCTCAAAATGTCAAGGCTGTGATACGAGTACTTGGATGGGTTACAAAACCTTACCAGTTTTATTGGGTTATTTAAAAAAAAATTTTTATACTTTGTCTTACTGCGAACTTTTCTAAAGATCGTTCGAGGAAAGGAATAGATAAATTCATCCATCCGTTTACTTAAGTTTGTTTAAAAAAGATCCTTACGGAGAACTCCTCCAGTAACTAAACACGTATAAAATTCTTTGAAATGAACACTTGACAAATGGACAGCCATCTTTCGAACAAGTGTGTAGTAATAAAATGATTTTTATAGGCTTGTGATGTGTGTAGTGTGTACAAGTCTTCTTTGCAATAAAGAGGATAGATACCATCAAATAAAAATGGAATTTACTTATATGAAAAATCGAAATGTAACTTAAATCTAAATCAGAGGCAGATAATTCTAAATTTTACAAAACCTTCGATTTTTACTAAATAACACGAAAACTGTTAATAGCATTCGATACATCATTTTATCGTTACCGAGAGGTTTTAACGACCTACCTTAGAATGATTTATTTATTCTAGACAATAACATTATCGTGGAACGTATTTAATTGTTTTTTAATTCATCCTGTTACGGAATAGTAGATCATTTGACGAAGAATATTCTAACTTCCTCGTGATTGTTATATATTAAAAGTAGCTACTTAAAGATCAAAACGCGACTAACATTAGCAACTAAATTGTTCGTGAACTTAGAACTATGTTGATCATTAATTTGAATCTCGTATTTTGTCACCGGAAATTTATTTCTGGATAATTAGCATTGGCTTTTCCGCGTGTTGTGCTCTCAGAATATTTTATATTGAAGCAACGAGTCGTCACTAATAAATCTGCTTCATCGTTCGTAATTTGAATTACAATCGTTATAATAGCGTCACGATCCTTACAGGAACAAACAACTAATGTTTGAAACTAGTTCTCGATAATAGTCCTGATACAAAGATTAGGTAATCGCGTTATATACATATTTATGAGATACCAGATGAAAGAAAAAATGTAGAATACGTACAAGTTCATTATAACTTACGATCTATTAATCATCATTTTCTCAAAGCGTTTAAAGAATTTCCATTTTTGTTTTCCATTTTTTTATGTACACAACGCAAAAGTTCATTTTCATTTGTAACGTACTCACTCAGCTTTCGGAATTTCCACACTTCTAACTCCTTTTGAATTTAAACTACACTACATTTTGATTCGTCAAATTAAAAAAGAAATCAGAAAATACAATAATGTTAATAAATGGTTAGACAGGAATTAATACGCACGTAAATAGTGATCAATCTCCTATGATGTAATTTAATTAATCAAACTTGACTCAAAATTGCAAAGAAGATTATGTCGTAAGATTTGCATTGTACACATTGCGTATGCATTATTCATCACAAGAAAATAATAGACAAACAGTAAAAGAGTTACCCAAACATATAAACGAGAATTAAATGCATTGTTAAATATAATATATTTTTTTTTCTTTCGTTTTCTCTAAACATAATCTTATTTTCAACGATTGTTTTTCTATCGTAATGTGATTTATATTCGCAAAAGAAAAATTTATATGTACATACATGATCAAGTCGATAGTCATACATTTCTTGCTAAGTTTTCGTCAGAGTGAGGAAAAAGTAATTCGATTGGATTTGTTACAATACGATGACACTATAATTACATAATAATCACGCGGTAATTACTGTCTAGGGGCGGTGAAATCATAATCATACATCTTTAAAGCAAATAATAATTATCTAATTATGCCGTTTGTGAATATCTCGCGATTACACTGCACTTGCATACAATCGTATCATAGGAAATGTAATAAAATTATTCGTGCAACGTTTTGCATTGCACAAGTGGCATTCACATGATCTATAAAGAATACATACCAATCTTGATTTTCCGTAAAACATTATGGTGATTGAATTTTTACGTAAATGTAAATATAAAAAGAGACATCGTCTAGAAGTTTTTAGATCATTGAACCTCGGAATAACCATGGACGACCGTGAACGCATAACCTTGCAATTAATCGTCTTTCACAGTGCTATGCATATTTATTCGAATGTTTATGCCGTGCCAAGGTAATAAAGTCAGCACGATGAAGCAACATTCGTTTCATTCTGCCTTTTGATCGATCTGTTCTACGTTTTACCTCGATAGATCAATCGATCAACCATTGATACGCTTTCAACGATAAGCGATTTAGGTCTCGGCTGTTGATTTGAATACAGTGATGTTTGAATTCCAACTGAAATGATGGTAACACACGAGCTGCGCGTTCATAATTGCCCTTGCAACGGATAAACATACAGGATGATTCTAATAACTGGATCAAATTCTAATTTTGCTCTTGTAAGATGTGTACATGTGTTTGGAACGCGGGACCGTTATTGTTGGCATCGATAAAAGTGTCTAGATCTGGGATGTTCATTTTGTTTTCTTTATGTTGAATAGTTACAGTAACATTAAATGATATAGTTTATATTGTTTAGTGAAAGATCCTTGACATCCTTACACTCTAAATCAGCGTTTATTAGATACAATATATTAATATTCAGACTCTTAGTGATATTTCATTGATAATGTAAATAGCAAATATGGAAAACGAACAAAATGTTGAGTGATCCTACAAATATCAAACAAAATAACCAATTATAGAGGTTGTCGTGTATCCGATTTTCCACCCATAAATATGCAAATCAATAGCGGCTGTTGGCCGCTCCGAGAATAAAGCTATAAGAAAAAAAATAAAATAACGAAAATAACTGTGAGAAAATTGACCATACGAGAAATTGACGATGATTACGATTGCCTTAGCTACAATTGAAATAATGATGGCCAGAACACCGCCTCACGAATGTTCGTTTTCCAAGATGGAAATGTTACATTATCTGTGCCATACAAAGAGTTCATTCGCGTGTTCTGCTTTAAGAATTGAAAAAAGAATGGCTAATCGAAGAAGTGTCAGAAAGAAATAGTTGATTGAAGAAAGGATAGGTCTTTCGTGTGTGCCGAATAAGATTTTTCTCATTTTTGGGTAATTGTAGTTTCAATTACAATTATCCAGAGCCTAATAATGATTCATGGTGGGTCGTTAATGTAATAGAAATGATTGCAACAGAATTGAGACAGATCATTACTTGAACTTTTGAATAAACAAACAGCCTGACCAACTAGGTTTATGCCTATCGTATTGACAACGCGAGACTGCTAGCTATCGGACACTACGATCTTAATAGTTCCAGTATACAATAACGAAGTTTGCCTTGTTGAGTGTCATGAACCAATCCACAACCTTGGTTCTTCGTTTTTTTATAGTTCGTTGCCGTTTCGGCCCTTCACTCATTACAGGGTTCGTAATCTTCTAGAATTTCCCATCTTCAGGATGTTGACATCATGCATAATCGTGTTTTTTTAAGATAGTGATCAATCATGTTCTGAGAATATCTTACAGAAGCGTTTCTTTCTACTACTATTACAGTTGTCATATTTTTTTACAGTAATTTGGAAAGTTAATAACACAGTTCAGTAAATTCTTTCTGCGTTTTTTCCAAAAAGTTTGAATCATTTTTTGTTTACGAAGGCCACTTTTAATAATGTTCGCGATTTCTTTGGATCTTCTAGTTAGAGAAACGGTTGTCAAGGTTTTTGTGCGAGTGAAATGCTAAAGGATAGAACGTTCAAGAGCATCGAGTCAATCGACTAATGCGCTCATGTTAGTATTGTTCGAGAATTTCATGCGATAACATCAGTGTCAAAGTAGTACGTACAATACAATGAATCATACGGAAGTATCTGCGGAGATCCTGACTGTAATTTATGCAACCTCTTGTACTTGCAGGTGACGTTTCAACTAACAACTTAACATACGTAGATCTTTTTTTTTTTTTGTTATCACTATTCACTGAAAAATGAGAAAACGCTGTCTTTCGTTTTCCTACCTTTAAAACTACAAGAACCACTTTACAACGAAAATTTACATAATTCGCCGTTTCTTATGTATAATTCGCTTGAATATAATGATTTGTTTTTCGAGATAAACCTGTCGATACACGATTGAAATATCATTATTCTAAGGATGCAAAGAATACTAGTGAATATTAATAAACATATCTCTAATTTTTATCGATAAATTCCTGTCAAATGTTTTTGCAGCAATTTAAATCTTTAACATGAATTGATATTTAACGATATAGAGGAGAATAGGTAATGCTTGGATTTTGAAATGATGGGCACAAACGGTCTATTTAAATAAACACTTTATTACTCCATTATCATACGTAATATACAGTTGTAATTAATTATGAATTCGAGTTATTAATGAGCTTTATTCCATCAATAAATTCATTAAAAATTTCTATATCAATCAATGTCGAATACAATTGTATTATCTCTGGACACCAATTAGAAAATAATTAAACTGGAATATTTCTCGTTGATACATGTATCGCTTCATGTATCTAAACACGATTCCATAACGATTTCACAGTACACATAATTAACTAAGTCGAACAATTTGTACTTGCATAATATCACATTGGGCATATTTATTCTTTCCAATAAAATTTACAATCATTAAGGCTGAATTATACAATTGCAACAACGCAACCTGTACGTATTATAAAATATAGTCCTAAACGGTTAAATAAAATTTTGGTTCGTTTACTTATCACAATACAAGTATTACGTATTCAATATGACATAAAAAAAATTCTAGGATTACATGCTTCGTCTCTATAAAATCATCCAATGATCCGCGCATTTAATTATATGCACAAATAAATTGCATTGTTTCCCACATCTTTTATTCATCAGAAATTTGCATACCGTGAGCTTGAACTCGTTAAAGGTCGCGTATTCGTCATGGCCACGAAATACGGGCTGCATCTACGAGATTTCTGGATGTGGATGATATCACGTATGCCACTATGCGCATTAAAAAGAAACATCTTATTCGCGTGTTATACTTTCTCCTTTCTGCTCTCTAAAACGAAGCTCCGTCTCTTCTCATTCAATGCAAAACCTGCTTTGCAATGTCCCATGGAAAAGCACCGATACAATAAGATAACGTGTTTCCCAAGTTATTGCTACATTCGTTCTCGATCAGTATTCAATTCCTATTACATGATTTTATTATCGTAATTTACATTCAAAATTCTATACAAAATGAGATAGTCGAGACGAAGTAAATTGAATCTGGTTCTATAGAATGATTAAAAAGAGAATAAATGCATTCAAGAGCCAAGGGCTCAATTCACTTCATCCCACCCTTAATATAAGGTACTGTTTATTTAAAGAAAAATCATTTTTGTTACGGCAGTCGTTTTTGATACTTGAGAGCCAAGCTGTTTAACGGTGGTCTCATTTTTGTAATTCCAAGATCTATAGCATGTCCAGTCAAGGGGCAACTTTGACAGCGTTTCTTTTTACAATTCGTGGTGTTGTTTGGTTTCTCTTGATGTACAATGTACCGAGGGAAGTAATGCATACGTTTTCGCTGTAAAGTGGCACAAGCTGGCATCGTTACGACTAAATCTTTCTTATGAATAGTGTCCGCATACTCGGGGAAGAGTCTGTCGTTTAGCAAATACTGTTGCAAGGATCCCGAAGATTTAGATGGCAATAAAGTATGATTCGATCCGTGAGTATCGAAGTAGTTTTGTTCCCGGAATTTCCTCAGTTTCTTCACTTCATCGTCCGAAAGATATTCCCCATCGCTTTCGTCTCGACTGCCATTTACACAGATAGTGTGTCGAAATTTTGCAGGATCGATATTGTCTTTTTCCAAAGTTTTCGAAGAGTGGTCAGCCTTATTTTTGTGGCAACAGGGACAGTCTTTATTGAACAATTGCGACGTTCTTTTACTCTTAGTTGACGTTTTTGTATTCGATTTTGTCTTTTTCAAATCAGGTACGGATTTCTTAGAAGTAAGTGTTCGTTTAGTTACTAGTTTAGGTCTCGATTGTTTTTTCAATGATACTTGAACTCCTTTATTGGATTTGTTCACGCTATCGGAGCCAAGACTTTGTTCTTCCTCTACAGTTGATGAATTTGTAGCTGTTCTAAGCAACGATCTAGATTTTATTGAGCGAGCGGTAGTTTGCGATTCCTTGTTATTGCTGTTCAGCTGAGCTCCAATGCTCTGCATGTTTTTTCTAGCCATAAAATCATAGCAGTATGGCGATCTAGGACACACGCTTAGACAATCTCCGGTTACCGCAGTTCGTAGAAGGGATACTTTGCTTTGTACATTTCGTAAAAATTGAGATCTCGGTGCATAGTCTATCTTCTGCACTCGTCGTAAAGTTTCACAACTGATCGGCGAAGTTAAAAGTGGCTTTTCAAGACTGTCCCTTACAAAAGGTACGTCAACGTGACTTTTGCAGCATTTGCATGGCGAATGTTGTTTGCGTTGCGTTCTCGTAGATCGTAACTGCACCTTTTTAATTTGGGAATGGCAATAACACTCCTTCACCGGCTTCCTCTGTACATTTTTTGGTCCTTGCTCTTCAGAATGTTTTTTAGACGAGGTTAACACCCTTTTGGATGTTGATATATTAGGCATTGATGCAAGTATACAGTTTGAATTATTGCAAATATTTTCTGGACACAAAAGTGCACCAACACTGCTAGAATCATTTCTTAACTTCCATGATTTACTATTGCCTCTGCGGTAGAAGTTACTATTGCCTCTGGTCTGATTATCTGTATGGTTTTTAGAATTTTCTCCCTGTGTTCTATGAATGAAGTAAATAATTACTTTTACGAAATATTGTATTATAAATAGAGAGGAATACTAACAAATTCTCTGAGTAGAGTTTTTCAATTTCTTGCTTAACCTTCTTGGAACTTTCATCAGCCTGTGCTAGCAAAAGTCTACTTCTCTTGCGCAAGTTATCTATACGTTCATTTAAGGTTTCAGCCATAGGTTCTCACATCTTCATCTGCAAATAAAAATTATTTTGATCTGATTAAGATATTAAAAGCTTAAATAGAAATTTATCTTTCAGTGCTAATTTTATCAGATCTTAAATAATAGTGTTACGCATTAATAGTCAGTGTCAGGCATCTCATATTCTAACTAATTCATTGATCCACATTATTTTTTTTTTATTAACATTACAAAAAACATTGTGTTATGTATTCCATAATTTGAAAATTGAAATTACTGGTAATTAGCTGTTATTCATTTAATACATCAATAAGCATATTCCTTTGCAAAATACAAATGTACAGATTCATGGTAATATTATCGATGCCAAAACAAGTTTGACACGTCTGATTAATGGGATAGCTAACTAAAGCGTAACAAATCGTTCAGAATCCATTACCGTTATCAATTCTCGATCGCGTGCGTACACTTCTCCGTGATAATAATTAACCATCTCTCCCCTTACCTACAACAATCGTACTTCGTCGACAGAAACGTTCCGCGTCTTAATTCCGAAATAACGCGATAAAATGTTTATTTTTATTATGACGATTGAAGTTTGGCAAGCGTCCACCGTAAACGTAAACAGAAAGATGCGGCTCCCAGGCCTGCCACGACAGTGCAATCATTTTTTTCTTTGACGCACTTTTTTTTTCGCGAATAAGATAAAAAGCATAGTCGGTACTTTCCGCGTCGTTTCGTTCGAGGAACGAGAATTTCCTTGGAGATGGATAATTCGAAAATCTGAATTATGCATCGCGGAAATTGTTCGCACGTGTTTCGAGAGACGCGAGGCAACGTCCGGGTAGTGCTTTATCGCAGCCATGTTGGAGGAACGCGTAGGACGCGGCGTACGTTACGATGTACCGTCGCTCGAGAATTGTTTTTTAATTTAATTAACTGTCCCGTGTTTTCCACCGATGTTCCGTCTTGAAAGTGGCCCGTGGTTTCGCGCGACGTGAGAAATATGAGCGTGGAAACGTAATTGTGGGCCGTTTCTTTCGTCGGTGTCGCTCCGGTGGCGGTTATTATAGGTTATAAACGCTCGCATGTTTTAATCCAGGCGGACGCGTACCTTTCACGATCGTTCGCGGCAAAATGAATTTTTCCGGGAGCAACATTATTCAGGGAGCTCTTCCTCAGTTCTCAGAGTTAACGTCTCGACCGAACCAGGTCTCCGCATCGAAATTTACCAGCGGTGATACCGTTCAATTAGAACACGCGTCTGTTTATACAACCGCCGCCGTATCGAATCAGACGAAACAAACTTTGTTGGTAAGATCCGATTTGTTATTGTCTTTTCATCTAATAAAAATTGGAACTATTGCTTGGTTCGAAATAGCTCTTAAACGAAAGTCTTTACAAGTTTTACAGGTTATTGAACGTTTCAACCAATTTATTTTGATCTCTCTCAGCAGTCAAGTATGAAATTAATCTACCATATAGTGAATTAAAGTATTTTATGTATTTCTTTTTTTTATAGAGGAATGTACTACAAAATTTTATGTTACCAATATAGATTTCTTAATTATGATCTCTGGTTGCGGTACGTATGTGGTAGACACGATCTAATTGCATTATGCTGTGGTAATAAAACTGAGAACTTGATTATATGTAGGTGTTTAAACGGAAGAGATACAAGGAACTGGTCAATTTATAAATTTTTAAGTCAGTATTATTTTATAGAATATCCATTTTCTTGCACAGCGATGCGAATATGTTGGCACATTGAAAATAATTTTCTTTACATAATCAGTTCCATCAGTGTTTGGTGGAACAGCTTTTTTTAACATTTATCTTGAGACCAGAAATAGTGTAAAAGTTTCTATCTTGAATTGATTTCAATTTTATCACCCTGTAGTACATTCTAAGTATTCTACTTTGCGTTATATTTTGTATTTCAATGTCGAGGAGAATCAAAATGAATTGGTTGAAACTTCCAATAACTGATGCTTGAAAAACGTCTCTGTTTAACAAATATCGTTCGATATTTTCTACTATTGAATTTTCCCGGCTAACCGTTATCTCTCGTTTTAGGTGAATTCAACGAACAAATACGCGGGACCAATAATCGCATGGCCGGATCCGAATACGTTGATGCAATTCTGCGAAAAGCAGGGCATTCAAGCCATTAACATTCCTAATTATAATCAAAACAACTCGATACTCACTGTTCAGGCGAACAGTTTACCCGTGAGAATCATACCTAATATGTACTTGCCTTCAACCTCGCAACCGGAGACCGTTAAACACGACATAGATGTAAGGACAGAAAGCGAGATGAAAACACCCACCATGGTATCGTATTTTTTTTCTTCGAATACACGAAATTAGCTTGGGACACCGCGTCGAATGAGGAATCTAACTTTTCAGCAAGACTCTTCTCAAGTTCAGCTTCAACAGCAAAGCGCCATGGCCGAGTATTTCCAAAAGTTACAAGCCACTACTCTTCCATTGACGTTGCAGCAGTTGATTAAATTGCAAACGGAACAAATGAAGAAAGAGAAAACGGAGGAGGAGAAGGTGGAACACACGCAGAACAATATTCTCAACATTCCTAGTGTTCCAGTGTTCAGAAACACTCAGATACAAAATGGAAATACTTTCATGAATTCCGATCAAATGTTGACTACGATCAATCCGAACGACCTAAACGTGCATATAGACAACCAGCAGGAAAACGAAAACACTGTGCAGAGCATCAAAGTCGAGCAACAGATACAGACGGACTCGCCTAAGACCGAGAAGAAGATGAAATTCAGGGCCAAAACCGGGGAAATCAAGATCAGCGTTGCCCTGGACGGTTCGACGATTTATTGCTGTCCAGAGTGTAACTTAGCGTTTTCAGATAAGGCTGAGGTCGAGCAGCACATACAGGCTCATATTCAAGTATGTATCGAATAACCCTGGCGCGTTAGAGTTATAGAATAAACGATAACAGATCAGGTTCTCTGCTTTGAATGGCTTAGATTAATTGACTATTAGAAATTTATTGTCAAACTAATGAATTAAAATGATCCGTTTTAGGAACGTAAGTATCAATGCAAGGAATGCGGCGCGATGTTGAAAAGAAAAGAGCACCTCGATCAACACATGCGTGGGCACTCGGACGAAAGGCCGTTCAAGTGTCCCGTGTGCCAAAAAGCGTTCAAGAGAAACGAACACTTAACGAGGCATTACGTTATCCACTCTGGCGATAAGAATTTCATGTGCTCGGTATGCCAGAAGGCCTTCTCCAGGAAGGATCACTTGAACAAACATACTCAAACGCATTTAGGAATCAGACGGAACAGAATAAAGAAGGAATCGTTCTTTGTCGAACAGAAAGAGCCGTTCGAGAAGGCTAACGAAGTTTCCGCAATGCCTAAACAGGAAGTGAACTTTGTACTGAAAGACGGATACGCGAAACAGGAACCGAATTTCCTGCAGTACATACAAAATCTTCAGAAAGATCAGAACTTGATACACACGTTTTCCTCGTTTAAAGAACAGGCGATCAAAGAAGCGAACGTTCTGCAGCAACAGGCTGTCAATATGAACGAAATTCTGCCTCAAAATACAAGGTACTTAATGCCATCTTAGTCATAAATCAATCTCGCGTAAATCCAAAGCAATAAAGGCTGTTTACGAAGTGCGTTGAGGTTAGCACAAATAGAAAATTCGTTAGACACATTAGGAATTGGAGCATCCCTTAGAACTTGAATTTGAATAAAAAAAGAAGACTATTGGCGAAGGACTAAAAGTTTGAGGTGCAATTTAATAAATTTACGAAATTTGGTGGCGACTGAATCAACGTTAACTTGATTTTTAACGAAGTTAATGCTTCGTCTAATTTCTTTCTTGTATGGGTAAAAATAATCCACACGTTTGAGTTCAAATAGCATTTATTTTACCACGAACAGTACCTTACGCTAACGTAAGAGCTGTGGAACTTTGAAGTTTCGTTGCTTGCACGAAATTGATACTTAATTCCTCGAGATTGTCTGCTGCGTTGGCAGCCTGAGTAAGTTTGATACCAATTTGGTATTTGGAGCAAAAGGAAAGAAGTTATTTGTGTATGTTCATACCGTCTCTCTTATTTAAACTAGTTTTAAAGGAAATAGTTTGTTTACTGATTCTAGTCCATGATCACAACACTTACGATCGAATAGCGCGCATACGAACGCCGATACTCACGTTTCGTAAAGTTCCACGCGCGTTTTTGATCTAGCATGGAATATAATTTGGATCGTGATACGATCGATACTGCTGAATGATACACTTAAAGCCAATCTGCCATTAGGATAATGACTTCTTAAAACGAGTACCAATAGCAATTAATAGCATACTGCCGATGAATGTTATACAATTTGTAGAATAATTATGTACATAAATACGATACAAATTTTACCTGAAAGAGACTCAATAGGTACGTTGTTTGAACTTGATCTCTGATTCGTCCGTGTTCATCTTTAACAACAAGTGTTTAGCGCGTATTTTAAGTAATCATTCATCCTCGATCATTATATTTTAACGTATTCTTTTTCAACTTTTTCATGAATAATGTATTTGGCAGACGTGCCTTTTGTAAATGTAATTTTCATTATTTCTATTATCTTGTGTGATTATGATAATCTTTACAAACGAATCGTAGTATACGTAATTCATTCATTTGACGGAAACGCAGTAGGAACTTTTCTTCTATGTTCGAAAACGCGATATTGTTGGAAGTTTTTTAATTTTCTAACGCTCGAAGAGAGAATCTTGCGATATGAAGTCAGATATATAACCAAAGAATGTTTTGTCAAAACGATGTCTTCAGTTTCGAATGTATTTGGTTGATAAACAATTTTTGATACATTTTTTTGTGTGTGTTTAGAATGTGATGTTTTAGAGGAGTTCCTATTACTTTTGCTAGAAGCGATTCGATGTTTCTATCGTGTGTATCGTATTATACATGAAAAAGTTGAACTTTTCATTGACCTTTGATACAAGTCACTTTCCAAAATCGATTTTTATTACGCATTGCGCATCTTGAGTTTACTCAAACATTCTGCGAATGTCACTGGAAACAATAATAATTGCTCAAAATTAATTTTGAAATTGATACATTAGGTTGTCGAGAAATTGTAGCGTTTTTGTTTCTTATTGCAAGTGATTTTTATTTTTTTAATTAATACAACTAATCAGGAAGGACATTTTTAATTTTCTATAATTTTCTTTAGAACTTGTTACTATTATCTTTTTCGATTATTTGTTGCAATGTAGGAGTTCTAGGACTTATATTTTGATAGCAATTTTTTGACAACCTATCTGCTCTACGGTGGAAGTAAACATGTTTTGTCCTCGAATTTGAAGATCTTCCGATCTACTGTAGATTTTAAAAAAACTTGTGATTATGTTGACAATGAAGAACAGCTTTCAAATGTCTATTAGGTGTACTAATGAGATTAGAACGAGTAATTGCGGATGGCACTAAGATAAAACTCATGCCGTGTTATAATAGAACCAAAGACTTTTGAATGTACGAGAAATAGCAGTATTTTATCTCTTCTTCCTAAACTTCTTTCAACTTGCTAGATTTCTTTGATCTGTGATAGTAGGAGTTGAATTGTTCCCCTAAAATTTGGATCGATTCCTAGTTATTGAACATTTAATCTTCAATGAAATTACCTGTAGCGCTCGTGCCACTATCTTGGATCGAAGAAACAGCGATTTACCTTTTTAATAATGTTAATTAGACTTTTAAGATACTGATGTTCAGATTCGTGGCCATTCGAGTGAACATCATACGTAAAGCGGTACAATGATAAAATATTTTAACAATGAACACGCATTTACAACAAGGTGTTACTTGACGAACGGTTGTTACTGTATGATACAATGATTGCCAAAAAGATGATGAACAAATGGTAACACATGTATTTTTCAGACCAAGATATTTTTGAATAAAATAAGTGTAAAGAGAAGATTTGTATAGGCGTTTAATTGTGGCTGAATGTGATTTAATAGTAGGTATACTAAAATTTATCGTTTTTAGCTCTAGATTCTTGTTCCTATTCCTCATAGAGAAACTAAACCATTGCATAATTTACTAACTAGTTGGAAATGTAGGAAAATAATTCGTACACACAAATATTACTGAAAATTAAAACATTATACTTCGGCAAAAGATGTGATACAACATTCGGGATAATAAGTCAGTTTTTGTTCTTAAGGATTAAAATTATGGTTCCATTGCTCGCTAATTATTCGTCACTGTATTATTACTGTAAATAGCCCTTGCTAGTTTAGAATAAACACCATAAGTGATGCCTAAGAGCGATCCAAGCCAGTCGACCAGGTGTTTGCTTAGCGTAGCGGGAAGCTGAAAACTCGATCTCGGGGTGACGAATTCCACTTCCAGATTCTTATCTTCCGTCTCGTCTTCCAATTCGAGGGGTTCCAAACGGTCTAGGGGTTGAATGTCGTTCACCCAGTCGTCGTCCGTCAGCACTAACGTTTTCTCGGTTTGTCGATACTTGTCAGAACCGGCATCTTTGGCTAAAATTTTTTCCACGTTGCTCGTGTTCTCCGGCTTACGAAACACGAAGTCGTACGTGGCCCGTAATTTGCCCAGGAGCCTATCCAATGGTTTCATCTCATTGTTTGCTCGCTGGTGGTACTCTATCGCCTCCTGAACTGGAAACAGCTTCGTTATCTGTGGCTTCGATTGCACTCTCGCTACGAAGAGCTGAAAACGAGGGGTAATCCGTATTCGTGTTAGAAGCTTACACTATTTACAAATTTACTAGTAGTGTATTTATTTCAAATTATTTTTAAATTCGTAAAATTCGTGGAAAATTGTGTTTGAAATCGAAGTTACTTAATTAGAGCATCGTCGTGTTAGATATCCCAGTTCAGCAACCAAGTGTGTTGAAACTGAACGAAGGGGGGGATCAGTTTCCTTTTACTTTTCCCTTTGGACTTCTCTACTTCCATTACTCTAATTAAGTGCACCGTCCAGAAATTAATTTCTTGTCGAAATCAGAGGTACATTTACTCGGTCTCGACATTAACTTACCTTTTGTAGGGTGCATCAATTATAATAGATCCTTCTATTTGTTTGTGCAAAATATTCCACCTAAACAACCACTTAATTATCTTCTACAATTGCAACGATACAAGAACTTCTGTATACATAATTTGAATGATTTTCAAAATTTATCAACTATCACCGCGAAGGATAATTAGGTGATCTGTTTTAGGCGGGACGTTCTGTGTATTATCCAATTCCTTAGATTCAAATCAAATTAAGTTAATTGAGAATTAGGTAATCTGTTTACAAAAAATTCTTACTTACGCAAAAAAGACTTAGTCCCACGAAAAGAATTTTCATGTCGCTGACTTGATTATTCCTTCTATTCGAGGCGAACCAAACGACTGAAGGACCCATTGATTTCAAAATCCATTTATACCACCGTGCGATACAGTGGCGTAAAACTGCGTCGCGACTAATTCATTGGGGCGAGCGTCCTTATTGTTTTCCGTCCACGCCTTTGCTTTCTGGACAAACCATTGACACAGAATTGCTTAACGAAATTGCCATTCGGCGCACGTAACGCTGCTCCGTGGGCTCTGGCAACTCATATTGTCGAAGCAATAAACAATATCGTCCCTCGTTCGAACCGCAGGTCAAGGTAGATTGTGGAAATTTGCGTGGACTTTTCATTGGCGCGATTCACCTTTTACTTACGATAAATTGTTATTTCTGACAATATCCAAGTTCTCTTTTTACCGGTTGTTACGTAGGAGTACACAATTATTATTAAAAGAATTTCGTGGCTATCATTAGACTCGCTGAAATTTTGTCTTGCAACTGTTTCTGTTATAGCAGTTTGTTTAATTCGTGTATGTATGTGGCCCTTAGTATACGTCTGCTAGTGGTTTTACCTACCATGAGTCAACTTCATTGTATTCACAATTAATCAAAGTACTGGGAAGCATTGCGGTTCAATGAGTCAACTGTTTAATTAAATTCAGAAACTTTTAATGAGTATTAATTTGATACATAAACGAATATCCTCGGTTATATTTGGCAATCTTCTAATATAGAATTCAAGAGGTTACAATAGTTCGAGACTTTCAAGCCCCCATTTCCGAAATGGAACACTTGTTACATAATAGCTTGTAGAACAAAGCGTAATTCATCTATCTATAACTTACAAAATCAATACGAAAGATAAAATAGACGTGCTGTCATATGCAATGATCATCAGCAACGGGTGCAGTGTGCTTTCTTATTACCTCGATAATTGCACGAATCTCTACACACGTATCTCTGTAGTACATTATCGAACGCTTAAGCTACAGTAGAAGACTTCCACTCGGAGTAGCTACGTCAACGTCTCTTACAGAATTCTGAATACCATAAACTGTCGATTAATTATAAATTCGAGACACTATTCTCTAGTTGGGGAACGTTGTAGGTTAGGGTGAATAGCGCAAGGGCAATAAGGGCCTCATTTCCTTGCTGAGGGTGCTCGAAGGGTTATCGAGATCCCGAATCGTCTGGTTGGTCTTGATCTTAGCGTCGTCTCTGGTTAGTTCGTTTCGCTCGAGGACCTTGTTCAAGATATTCTTCAGCTGCGGCGCGATCCCACCTTCGACCGAGGTCATCAGGGTGTTCAGAACCTCGTCGGAGTAGCCCGTGTATTTGCCATAACCTTGCTTCCTCGCGTCTTTGCTCAGGGAGTCGTAGAGGCTGGCTAGTTGTTGAAGCGTGGCACTCGGCGACACGTTCGAGCGCCTCAAGTAGCTGGTTAGGCTTGGTCTGGGCACTTGCGTCACCTTCTCGCCAAGACGCGTGAACCTGCAATGGGACGTCGAGTGTGTCATTAACTATTTAGGTTTCTAGCTTTCTTTTTAGGCCAATTGGTTGTCCGTGACGAATACAAGGACTTTGGGGGGTCTATCTAGACTTCGACACCGAACTCGACAATTTTCTTTTACCGTGTTAGAATATTTCACTTCGATAAAATTAGTACATGTTTCATTAATATCTCATGATAAATGAAGTTTTATGATGCTAGATAATTATCAAAGAGGACCTAGTAGTACATGTTTTGCAGTAGAATGGCTCCTTAACGTGTTCACTGTCTCCATACGCAGAAATAAACGTCATTCACACGTCCCAGGAAGTAATAAGCTTTCTGAATCAAAGCTGTCCCATATATGGGTCAAGGACTACCGAGTGAGAACTAGTCTGACATACATGTACGTGCGCGGGGAGACAGTTGACGCGTTGATGCGTATTTGACTAACCTTGAACATCTTTTACCCTCGTAGTATCAATTTGGATTTATGTAATATTTATAATGTTTTCAATCCTTCAAATTACCGTATTTTAAGGGTAGAGCAACGATAGAGAATTTTAAATTAAAAACTCCCAATATATCAATAAGTCCATAGTTATATTAAAAAGGCTGACAATTAACTCCTTCTTACTACCCAGAATCCTAATAAGATTTTACTTTGGTTTCTAGAACCATCACCTGTTCTCGTCGTCCTCGTCCTCCATGATCTCCGTCTTCTCCACGGAGACCGGCGTGGTGGCGCTTTTAGATTCTCCAAGGTACACAGCGTCCTCGTCCAGAAACACGGACGGCGTGGATTTCACGATCTCGTAAACCTCCTGTATAACAGTATCGACGGTGGGCTCTTTTTTCTTCTGTTTAGCCTCGTCGATCGATCCTTGCTGATCCAAGGTGGCATTAGTCGGGCCCGACACAGTCGTCGCGTTTGTTTCCGTTATGGTCGGGGTTCTCGCGTCTATAGACATAGAGCTCGACCCTTGATTCTCCTCGGGGATTTCTTGATTCGCTTCTTGGACGCCGTGCACGTCTTCTGGTGCTTCGTAATTCGCCTCCGGTGTCGCGTAGTTCAATTCAGGCGTCTCCTCGTTCACCTCCGGTGCCTCCTGATGGACCGAGCTGTCCTCGATTGCCTGGCTCGTTGCGTCCGTCGATTCATTACTAATTTCGCTCGACTTCGTTGAAATTTCCACCCCCTTCGGTACCTCTTCCGCTCTCGATCCGCATTCGGTGTTTTTTTCCCGCGTGCTCGGATTGGTCGTCGTGTCCGTGACGACAGTGGATGCTTCCTGGTCGTCCGTTTGATCGTACGCTGTCTGACACTCGTGCTTTGGGGGGACGGTGCTGCTAGAGCCTTCCAATTTTTCCTCCGATTGGAGGAGCTTCAGTTGTTCCACCGCGTGGAATATTACCTGCGTCGAAATGCATCGTTTGCAGCATCGATTTTAACACTTCCAGTATGGTAGAATTTGATTGGAAAGAGTTTTGGTAGCATACAGGGTGTTCAGCCATCCTTGGGAGAAAATTTAATGGGAGATTCTAGAGGTCAAAGTAAGACGAAAATCAAGAATACTAATTTGTTGATTGAGGCACCTACTCGAATTTTTTTCTCAAAAGTGGATAGGATTGCGGGGGTACGTGTATTCACCAAAAATAATTGTAATTAATACTATAGAATCTCCTATTAAAATTTATCCCAGAAGTGGCCGAATTTTAGAGTTTGTTTTAGAGTTAATAATTCTATTAAATTCGTTTTTAAACACGTCCCTCAAGGAGGCATTAGGTTAGATATCTTTGTATAGAAATTGTAAATATTTATTTTTGTCGCAAAAGATCCAAGAGAGAATGTTCATGCAATATTGCTCGTAGTCAAGATTGGGTCATTTGAGTACTCTCGATGATACGGAGAAGGTTGAGTGGGCTAGTGGATTCTGGATCTCAACCCCTTGGTGTGGAGTGGCCAAGGGTAGATTATGTACGTGCTTGTGATCTCTGGATCTTGATAATATAGGCCAACAGTGCCTCAAGCACGCTAACTAGTAATTACAACTACGTATATGAACTTGATCTTTTGGAAGCGTTGTACGTAACTACGTATTTTATACTTGCACGTTCTGTGCTTCGGTATTGAAATAATATTAATATTAAAATTTCACGTGCAAGTTTTGCTTCTCGCTGTAGAGTCGCGAGTGTGATTGTTCGATCAGAGATGTCATCATAATCCTATTACACCAGCCAGTGTCTAATGTCAAATGTGAAGAACTCAGCCTGAAATTTATTCTTCGATCGATCTTCTCCTATCGTTAATTTGTCCCTGCTAATGATACCAGACAGTAATTAAACCACGCTACGTTGGCCTAATGATCAAAGTACTCCCAAGTGCGAAAAGCATTCGACGCTTAATGAAATTGTCGCCGCGCGCGTCGGCGTAAATTGTTCTAAGCAAAAGCAACGAGACGCGCGATTAAGTTCCATTTAATTAAGCGCGAGACTTACCTGCATGGCTGCGGGAAGATACGAGTCCGTGTAGACGGGCTTCGAAAAGGCTGGCGGATTCTTAACCACCCCGCCGATGGCCTGAAGCAATGAATTTTAATTAACATTTCAAGACGGTCCTTTGACTTTATTGCGCGACATAAACAAGAGATTAAATGCAAACTGACGTTAAAAGCGTAGCATAAATGGCTTAGAATGCTCTTAAGGTATTTCGTTCTTTTCTTTTATTCTCCGTACGGGGTGTATCGAACAATTCGGAGAAGTAGAGTATTAATGAAGTTTTATTGACGAACGTTAGCATTGTTGCACTTTCAGAAAAGGCATGAGATTAGTTTTTGTTCTATAATTTTGTATGCTCCCTTTATCATTTATCGTCGAATAAGCAGTGTTATAATTCATCTAAATAGCGCGACGCACCCGGTATGTCGAACGAATTTTCCCGCGAAAGTTTTATGGCTTGTGCGGGGAATTCGTCCATAGCAATTCGACGCAGCAGTTTCTTTCCCGAGTCCAACCCCAAAGGTGTAATTTAGAGGGATAATTAACACTGTCGGTCACGGGGAAAAGTTTTCTGGTGTCTGAAAACCGTCTCTCACGATTCTTCGAAATGGAGAAACGATACGAGCAGCTTAAACTCGAGCTGAACTTCTTAGAGGGATAATTAAAACGGGGAGGGCTAATTGAGAGACGAGCGAAGAATAAGAAAGATCCTGGGACGAAGCAGATAGTTGAAAACAACGTGAATCAAATGGAGAGTCGGACAAAACTAACTTCGATATTAGTCTATCGAGGAAATAAATATCACGTTTAAATAGCCTGTAAAAAAGTGAGATTATGCAAATAAAAAATTAAGAATTTTGTAATTTTTGCGGAGAGAGGAAATTTAATATGTACGGTTCCGATGGGAAATCGTACAGCATCGAGGCAAATAATGCAAAGCATAAACATCTGAACCTGCGGTTGACAGTAAAATACGATAACGGTTCTATACGTGTCTGGCTCTGTAGGAGCGCGGTTAGTGTTGGAATAATGAACCATAGAATATTGGCATTTAAAAAACTCATCTCATCTCTGGTTCAGACAGAATGATCATCAAAAATAATATCCTGTTTGTAGACGACGATTTTTAATGCGTTGCTTATAATTCAAGAATGCTAATCTTCTGCTAGCTTCTAAGAAGCTAATATACATAACAGTATCTCACCTCCTGGAGCAAAAGAATGACAAAGAAGCTACAAATAGCCTTCATCCTGGTTCTTGAGTCCCCGACAACTTTGCAACGCCTCGAACAGATACTCAGCCTCCGAACTGCCTTTTCTCAAAACTTGTCGACTACTCTCTGTCTCAGGTTCGAACGACGAGCGATAAAATGAGAAGGGACACGTACGAAACTTGTCTCAGACTCTGATGTCCCATCACAGACTCCGGACCGACGAGATCTGTTTTGCCTCGGTTGTGCACGGTTCGCTCGCCGATTCCCAACTGGTCGAAAAGTCGCGTAACCCTCGGATTCCTGGTGTTTTCTTCGACTGGATCGAGATTCGCGGTCAAGCGTCGGGGAAAGACTGGTCTCGAAAAGACACGGTAACGGTTCCGGCTCGTCCTCGGCGTCGCGCGCTTATACTCGACGTGATCGCGTGCGTAAACGAGTAGCACGCAGGAGTGTTAATCGCGCGACGAGGAAGATGGAGAGCCTCGTTCGCGGCCCGTGACGGCTATCGTGACACTTAAATTAAGTTGCGATCGGTATGCCGTGCGCGTCCGTGAACCGAACGACGCTTTTTCCGCTATGCACTCGGCTCGATTCGCGACTCTCCCTGCGACGGATTACGCCTTGGTACTGCTCGAACTAACCAGACGTTGCTGACTAGGCTAATCCGAGTTTTTCGGGACGTGTTGGCTCTCATAGCGTGGCTCAGGGACGATCGTTCACAAAAATCTTGCTTGCTAGCTTGTCGTGGCCGTCAGGTTTCACGAGAGCAAACGATTGAACCGATCAAACGTTTGTTACGATAAGTCTTGGAGTATAGGATGTTGTTTTGAAAGTCTAAATGGTTGTTCAGAAAGACCTGCTTTGAATTTAGTACCCATCCACTGTCCCGCAACGATTTACTGTTTAGAAAGGACCAGCGTTGAATTATTGCCCGGTGTTTTCTGTGAACTTTGTCTATTGTCTTGGAAGTGATTTTCTGAACTATTGTGTGAGATTGGTATGACATTGGCAGTGTTGTCTAAAGCAGTCCTGCAGCAGTTAAATTTACAATCTTTCCTATATTTGAGTCGCGTATGTACTGTATTAGGTAACTGTACGTAGACTCGCATAACTGTACATTATTTAAACACGCATTCTTCGACGGAGCGTATCATTTTCTAGAAGCTGATCTGTCACAATGTCCTTTCTGCTTCGTTGGTCGTCCAGAATTCACGGGATCGTAATTTACTCGAAGACCGTGGCGAGGCATTCGTAAAATGCAATTCGACAGAAGCTAAGTAAGAAACGGGTTTCTAAAAGAGAGAAACAAAATTGCAGCGACCAAGTGGCCCAAGAACGTGATCGGGACTTTCGTTCTTGGAAGATTGCGACCTTGCACAAGGCCATCGTGACGATTCCACGAGCGAGACGAGAGAAAAAGAACGATACATAACACGGAGACCACACCTTCAAGGCAATTCGGTTATAGAACTCGATTGAATACAATCGAAGAAAAGGTCGACCGGTTCTCGGATCGTTTCGAGAGAACTGTATTCTCGTTCGATACAGTCCTCGTTTGTGAACGATTGGACAGTGGTAGTAATTGCTCGTCGATTGTCCTATAACTTTGGGTACCTACAGCTCGATTATGAGTTTAATTATGGTGAAAATGGTAAAATTGAGCCAATAGTGTTCTGGAATCGACAAAAGATATTCGCCATGAATAGCTTCGCTACGTTATTACGCATACCAGCAGAATGGACGTATAATTTGGCAATTTTGGTCTTATCGGCGACGTATGAGGGTGCCCTTATGCGATAACAGACGCCTTAAGCGTTTATATATTGAACGCACTGCTTCAACGGCAGTTCACGCAGTCGAGGAAGTGACTGAAACGTGTTTTTTAAAATTTCTAAACTCTCTGCTACTGTAAGAATACGCTCTGAGCACGATGGTGTTGAAGTCAGTTTTACTGACCATGTTGATGGTAAGTGTACTCTCTTGAATTCATTAAAACATGTGTATCGTATGGTATAAGGTACGCGATAAACAAATTGAACAGTATTACAAAAATAATTTTTATTTTTAGGTGTCCGAAATGTGTGCAAACCCAATTCAGTCGCTCGACGATTCGAACAAGATCGATGATGGAACGCAGACGGAGGTGACGACAGTGGATCAAGAATTTATTACATCAGTTTTGGACGCTGCATCGAGTCAAAGCGTAAGACCGTGAAAAATATTTCCGTCTTGTTATTCGCATTCCGTAAATAGAATCCCATACCTAACTCATTCTGACACTGCACCATAAAACGAACGTCTAACAATGTTTCTCGTAGGTCCTATGCATGCCATTATGGGCCTCTTAACGTCTGCAAATGGTACTTCCTATTGTTCTCAACTTAGGTCTGGGTTAACTCACACCTAGAAAACGAAAAATACTCTACAGTAGTTTTTGATTTCCCGATCCAACTTTTACCCCGGATTCAAGTAACGGGCTCGCCCACACGAATGTCTTAGAACAAGATAAAAATCACCACCCCGCTTTCAAGTGAACTGGTGATTCCTGTTTTCTCATTTGACTCTATGAAAAACTATTAACCCGCTTTCAAGTAACGGAATCTTTGCAATCCTTGTTGATCTTGGCTAGAGATAGAGTTATCCGCTTTGAAGCGAAGTGGTGGTCCGAGCGTTGTTGCTTGAAAGCGAACATTACTATTTATTTGCAGGCAAGCAGTTCCTCCACCGTGAAACCAGGCCCGTTCGCGTGGTTTCTGACGCCTCTGACGCAAAACCTTCAATTCTCTCCGCAATCATTCTTGCGGGATCGCATCGTCCAATTGAAGGAGACGCTGAACAATCTGGGCGTGCAATCGCGCGAGGATACAAAGGGCAAGCAACTATCCAGCGCGAACGGATTGCTTCAGATTGCTGGGGCGGGCGACTCGGGATTTTACACGAACAGGCTGGAGCCAGCCGGGTTTTTCGGCGGGAATGGCTGGCTCGCGAACAAGGGCGGAATCCTCGGTGGCCCCGGGGCGATTCTCTCGACAGGCAGCATTCTCACGGATTACCCTACGCCGTACAGGAGGAAGTAGAAACGAAACTACGGTTGATGCCTCGTCGAGAATAGGGCGAAATCCTTGGAGATATCGGAGAATTTTGTTATCGAGCACGGCGCTGGTAAGAGGATAGCCTTTCGCGCAGCAAATGGAAAATCCGTGACGTCATGTATTGGCGGTGCTATTAGATCTTTTCCTTGTAAAATTACAGAAAGATGGTATCTGGTTTTCGTGTCGGCATCGAGAAATTGTGTTTGATTCGTGGGATGGCTGTACGAGGTTTCTATGGAATTACGGGGAAAGCGGTGGTATTGGGTTTCTTTAACGTTGTAACAGAGTTGAATTTCATTTTTGTGATGTTACGGAAAAGTGGTATTGGATATTTATAATACTTCCTTTCTTGCGAAGCTATAAAATAATTGTATTTCTGAAATTTTATACAAACCAGATATTAAATTCCACGTTATTTCCAATATAATACGCAAGATTGTTTTAATATTCCTTTGGTTCGACTCGAATGAAATTATCGATGATGAGAGGATACGTATTTCCCTGTCGCTGGTGTCTCAGGAAATCGTATCATGTTTCTGAGATAATTCATGAATATATAAGAATGTAGCATTCAGTTTCTGTAATATTATATGAATCTGGTTGAATCTGGTTTAGTTTCATTACTGACAAATATTATTAGCTTCAATACTGATTATCTTCCTTGCGGTATTAAGTTTCGTTAAGAAACGAGTTCTGGGGTTACGATCGTAGTATCCTAGGGGCTTTAATGTTCATTTAGAACGCGTCGAACAAAAATTGCCCGTGGGCCACGCAAAACAAAAGCGAAATTTCGACTTCTTTTTCTGTCTGTTGCGCCCGCGGACCGTAATGGCTGCCGCAATTCTCCGAAAATTGTCACGATCCGCGCGGAGGTGCACACAGGTATCAAAGTTTTAACGAGCTGTCTGTAGTTTCCTGGTTTCAAACTGCAATACGTGCCGCAGAATGTACACGCACCACGGTGCTGCTGGATTTTCTCTAGCATGAATTGTTATGAGATGGAATGTATCGCGGAAAACACGCAGCGCTGCGGAGGATGAATTCTCTGCGGCGCGGGTCGGCTATTGGAAAATGAAATAACATCAGACTTCCTCTTCGTTGGTAATACTCACAATTTACAGGAACGTTCTGTAAATGCGAGACCGGTTCGTTTCGAAGGGAATATCGTTTCCGTCAAATTGAAATTCGACGTAATTAATCAACCCCGGAAATCCCTCTGTCGCATTGCAATTAAGATCGATTATCGATTGCCCACGTTGTGGCAGGATAAAAATATATATGGAATTTTCACGGTACATTTGCAGTACAATTTTATTTACTACGTGTTACTTCTATTGTTTACTGTTTTCCTAGTAACGTATCGAACGCGTAATATATCGTATCGATCGATCGAGAGATTTTCCCACCCCTGTAATTGTTTCTCTAATAAAATTAATCCCTCGGATACGACGTGGTATTCAATCTTCAGCGATACGATAAAGCTTGTCGTTTAAATTTTGAAACGATATTGAACGGTTAAGTCACGTTTTAAAATTGATCGTAATTTTCGGAGGAATGGAATTGCTCGACAATTTTTATGAGACCTTAGTACCGTGATGTAATAAAATTTCTGTCCAAGCGCGAGCAACAGCTTGAGCTTAAAGTCGTAAGCATCAATCGATAAACCACACGAGGAGAGATGGAACACGGTTGAGGTCATAAACGTCCATTCTTGTCCATAGTTTAAACTCAGTCAGTCGTCCAAGTTCGCCGAGTTGCTCGCTGCGCGGGAAAGCCCGTCAAAATCTGACAAGTATCGGCGCGTTGAGGCCAAGTATGCGCATACAACGTGCTCCGGCATAATGGCCCGGAAGTTTTACTCGGCAAGGTCTGTTTCGCTACTCTCAGCCTTTAGGAAGACGTTACCGGATTAGCTGCGTTACGTACTGAACCGAAGACGCCCATGCCTTGTCATTATCACTCGGCGTTAGGGTCGAATTATACATATAATCAACTTGGAACTTGGGAGGCTGAGTTTCGCTTACGTAGGCTGTTTTTCGTTTATTGTTGCGCACATAGTACACTAGTTGAAATAATTAGTGCTTTAAAATCTCCTTCGCTCTTCCCTGGAACGCCAATGGTTTTCTAATTTAATATATAACTCGATCGAATACTCGAATCAAAATAATGAAGTTTCAATCGTTACAAGATTCGGCGATGAAGGGGTGACAAGGATCGAGATATAAAATATCATCTTGGGGTAATCATTAACTTCCAAGATATTAATAAATACAGACGACTAAAATTTTATATTAGAGATAGGGGCCTTTCGGAGTTACAATCAAACAGCATTTAATTTTTACTGATATCAGCCACTCGTTGAAACGTCTACTGTGCTGCGAAACCAAGTTCACCCCTTCGTTCGAGTAAAATTGCATTCCAATAAATTTTTATTAGAACGATAATTCTGGGAAGAATTTATTCGAATGACGGGCAGCGTCGGAGGCTTGCCCCGACACTCGACCTCATCTCGATGGACCCAGATGGGGTCAGAAATTCAACGACACCGCGTTATCTATTGCAGCCCTCTACGATTTTGGGGAAGGGGGTGCGGGCGCGTTGGTGGGGGATGGAATAAAACGATTCAGCGTCTGGGGCGGCAGTCGAGGCTCCTCCAGTCGAGCGAGCGCCACGGCCGCGAATAGTTATACGGTTTGTCAGTGAAAAGAGACACGCGATCGAGCAACGCGTGCGTGCGATTGCTATCGAAAGTATAACGAAATAAGAAGGGGGGGGAGGGTGATCGAGCGACAGCGTCTCGTCGGTTCGAACGTTTTCGTTGGAAGCTTTCGCGTGGTTTCGCGACACGAGTGTATTTTTTTTTATTTATTTTTCTTCTGTCGCGCGGCGTCCCCTTCGAATCGAAACTGGGTTGATCGACCGCGTCGCTGGGACGATTCCTTTCCCTTTCGACGCGAGAGGAGACTCGTTTCGTTCGCCGGAGATCGCAAGGATGATTGGCCGAGGGGGAAAGAGATACAGGAGAGAGAAAGACGACCGCTTGTTGTTTCTTGTTTAACCGCGTAAGTCGAGCGAAAGTATGTAAGCTTGTGTTCCCGAGATGTTTCGTCCGTGTTCTCTGTTTGTTATTGTTTTCGACTGGCCACGTTGCCACGTGTGCGTGCCACCTCGCGTACCGCTGTTAGACCGAAACGATATTTTGATCCCCACAGTTCCGGAATGAATTGATTTTGCGTTTTGTTTGGATAGAAATATTCGGCCTTCGGAGGCTCACGGTCGAATTTGGTTGCATCTGAGCTTGATTATTTGCGCGATTCTGATTGCGCTCTGTGTTGTGACAGGCTGTTGACATTACAAACGTTCTATGGAATTGAAAGGGCAGGTATCTCGTGCTATTTAATTAGAAGCTAAATACTTTCCTGTACATTTTGTGATCGTATCACGCAGTATGAGGTCAATCAGTGTTATCAATTATTTTAAAACGTAAATTTGATTAAAATATAATAGCGGTCGAAATGCAGTAGTAACTGTGTCTTTGTTGACGATAGTTGAATGGCATTGTAAAAAACATTACAGGGGTTGTGAATCTAGTTTAATTTGCTTCTTTGTCTCATCGTTCAGTCTCGTTATAAATTTCATTTAACTTAAAAATTTTCAATGAATATACGTATCGTTTTATTTTAAGGGCATCAAGTAAATTTAAATCAACAGAAGTTGTACTGAAATATTCATTGTTACAGTTGTCAGACAATCAATAATAAGTTTTGTTTCTATAAAAGGAAAACTTCTTTGAAGATCGGCAAAGTAAAACAAACAAAAAAGACTACTAGAGAGATCAATATCGCGTTAGAAGTTTCTCCGCGGAGGAAAATGAAACTGTAACTCATTCAGAAAGTTAATATTCCAACGTAGCATTTTTTCGAACATAAATCTTTCAATAATAATACTTTTTCATTATACCAAATGTGTGAACATTGAAAAATTAGAATCGAGCGCAATGGAACAATTTATAGGCAACGGTGTATGTTTAGTCGCAGCTGTATTAACGTAACCTTGAATGGGTCGGGAGTAGAATATTTGGAATCATAAAGTAAACGTAGATCTGTCCACCTTTTCTTAAGACCATGTGTAGCTCTAGGTTAACAAGTTCTCCTGTGTCTTCGAGACGGTAAATCCTTTGGACAAACTGTTCTAGAGCCTGAGGTATGTTTGAAGGTTTCACAGTGCCAAACAGAATCTTTATACGTGCAAAAATATGCGCGTAGGTGGCGTAAAGGTATTTAACTTGGTCACGCAAAGATGGAATACTGCGCTGAACATTTTGCTGTTGCTTAAATACAGTTTTATCAGAAATTCGAGCAACGTGTTCCGGATAACTTGGTCTTCGCAGTCGTCAAAATAATATTTTCCAAAAGATTTCCCCATGGTTCTGTTTATTAAATAAAGTTCCGTATTTTCCTGGTTTCGTTGAAATTTATTTTTGAAATGGTTCGTCCAATACATCGTCCGTTTCGAGTTTTACAAACTACAGTATATGACAAACAAAAAACGGGGTCTATCGATCGGTTTTTTGATTCGTTTTTGCGCGACTGATAGGAAAAACAGATTCTTTTGTTTGAGTACAACCGGCAGATAGTATAGATTTAATTAAAATCTGCTTCCTATGGAAACTGTGCAAACAGTTTCACTGTTTGTATTGATAAACAGTTTCTATTCAAGCAGGAAGTATTCTTTACAGAGGGTCGTCGATTTCCTGGTTTAATGCATCGACTATCAAAAATGCAATTTTATTTTACCCCCTATTGTCGGTGATTGCTCGTTCAAACAACAATATGGAATACAATTTTTGTAAAACGAGGTTTATTTTTCGAGAAAATTGATTTTGAAAATTGCATTGAGCTACTTGTGCACCAAAATGGCGTCTGGGTGATTCGCATCGAGGAACGTCACTGGTACTTTCATTGCATTTTCGTGTTTTTTTTTTT